CTTTCTCTTCTCCTGTGCCAAGAACAGTGCAAAGTAAGAAGACACTCAGTGAATGTTTTTGAAGGAATGACTATTGAAGTATATGGGTTGTTGGTTTAGAGATATGCATTCCCCAGTGCTAAAGAATCTATTTGCAAGCAGATTTTTGGAATAGAACATTTTTTGAAGTTGAATGCTACTTGCGCCGTTTTGTGTGCTGTCAGGTTTCTGCCATGGTAGGCATGACTAAACAGCATTCTTTCAGTTAATCCAGTAAGGGTCCTGTGGTATGGATGAGCCATGAGCTGGAACAGGAACAAAGTGAGTCTGGCCCTGAGGATAGAGACCTGCTTTAGACCCTGAGAGAGGACAGTTGGCAAATAGAAGGTGGCATCCACTGGGTATGGCAACCAAGCATGGATCAGATAAGCAGTTGGCTTTACAGAGTCTAGTGGAAGAAGTGGGAAGTCCTAAAGGTGGTTGAACATAGCCGTAGGAATAGAGGAACATACCTTGTACTTCTGATGCTCTCAAGGGTAGGCTGCTGGTGGTCAGACAGCATCAGGGAAGGCTGTCAGGAGTGAAGAGGTAAGGGATTAAAGGAGGTACTGACAAGGACCTGGCAGAGTTCTAAACCAAGAGAGACAGTGGTATAAAGGCTTTTTGTCATTCATTTAGCAAATATTTATTGAATACTTATTGTGAAAATGCTTCCAAGAGGAGGCCAATTCTTGATCTGATTATCAAAAGAAGAAGAAAGAAGATGCCCAGTTACCAGCATTGGGTTACACGATCAGGGCTGGTCTAACTAAGTACTGTGACATGATGTGAATTCCTTGTTATGGAGATAGAGCTCCCTTCAGTGTCTTTTGTTTTTACTTAGAATTGATCCTAGAGGCAGGATGGGCAGAGCTTCTGGGGTCAAATAAACCCAACAGCGGCAAGAAGAAGGCCTAGGGGTTAGAGTACCAAGAAGGGTCTGACAAACCATCACCTGACTGATAGACCTGGATCCAGCCTAGAATTGTTTATTTTATTTTATTTATTTATTTTTGAAATGGAGTCTCATTCTGTCACCAGCTGGAGTGCAGTGGCCTGATCTCAGCTCACTGCAACCTCTGGCTCCCTGGTTCAAGCAATTCTTCTGCCTCAGCCTCCCGAGTAGCTGGGACTACAGGCGTGCACCACCACGCCCAGCTAATTTTTGTATTTTTTATTTTTATTATTATTTTTTAAAGACGGGGTTTCGCCATGTTGGTCAGGCTGGTCTTGAACTCCCGACCTCAGGTGATCCACCCGCCTTGGCCTCCAAAGTGCTTGGATTACAGGTGTGAGCCACTGCGCCCAGCCAGAGTCATTTAATTAAACCATTAAATTGTTGATTGGCCACACCAAATGGTGGCACTGCATAGCACAGTCCAGGAAACACTGATTTTAATAACATCTTCTACTTGAAAAATACTCCATACTTATCAAAATACTTTCACATTTCACTGGATCCTAACATTCTTTTGATATAGGCAGGGTGTTATATCCATTATCTTTTAGAAGACATTTAGGCACTAACAATTTAAGTGGATAGTTTTACTCTTGGCTAGCCAGTGGCAGTGGCAGAACTAGAACTATGGGCTCCTTATTGATAGGTCACTGCTCTTTCCTTAATCCCACTGCTTTGCTAGTGTGATGCTGTCACAACTCTTGAAGGCCACCTTTACTGGGAATTCAGTCCAGGTCTGAGTGACTTCTGGGAAACAGGACCTGCTGAGTCTGAGGATTCAAGAGCATACTCTCAGCCATAGTAATGAGCCCAAATATTGTTTCAGATACTTGCTTTAGGAAACATAGGAAACATGCTTCAATTCTGATTAGTGGGCTATTATCTCTTTTTAGGAGGTCTCCTTAAATGTAAGGAAGTAAATTAGTAATGCCAGAGATTTTAAAATATCAGTTCCCAGTAAACATGCTTCAATTTTTATGACTTTACCATGTTGCTGCTTTATTGAGTTCCTCTGATGTGTCACGCACTGTTGTAAGATTTGAAGACATGGCAATAAACAAAATAGAAAAAATTCTGTCTTTGTCATGCTAGTTGGGGAGGGGGTGTTGGTGAAGGAGACTAACAAAAACCAAGTAAAATATAAAGTATTTCAAATGTTGATAAGAGAAAAAATAAAACAGGAAATGGGGACAGGATATGTGGGGTGGGGGTGTGAGAGGGATTGTAGTTTTAAATAAGATGGTTAGGGGAAAGGCTCCATGGTAAATGTGAAGGAAACACATCATTATGTACATCTTCAAAATCTACAAACATCAATATTAAATATCCAAACTACTGACTTGTAATTATTAGTGAAAAAACAAAAAACGTATTCATGAGTATAAACACACAGCCATACCTACACACAGACACATGAACAGATATACATATAAAATCTAGCACTTTTCAAATTAACTCCCCACTCTTTATGTACCTAAAAGATGAAATAAGTTTGAATTTGTTCTTGTGCAACTATAAGAATATGGAATGTAGCTATTACTAATCTCTGCTTTTTTGTTTGCAGACCTCCCACCGTTTAGCTCAGTGATAAAATTCCACAATAAATTATGACTTGAAAGATTTTAGGATATCATGAAAATGGGAATGACGAATGAAGGCTGAAATGAGGCAAATATTTGGCAAATCCTGTGAAGCACTTAGAACAAGCTTTATTAAGTGTGGTGGAATCAGATAATCATTACTATTTTTATTTTTATCTGGGGTCAAACTTAATTAAAATAAAACATTTTCTGTGGGTTTTCAAATTAGCCTAACAATTTACTGGTCTCCAAAGATCTTTGTAGATAGACGGTAACTTTGGCACAGATTCTAAAGCAGAGGACTCTAGGTCTGGAAAGAAGTTGGAAAATAATTTTATTTAAAAACAAAACAAAAATGTGCCAGGAAACACCATGAGAGAATGTTTTGTGACATATGGGGGATTCAGTTGAAAGATATTAATAGGGAGTCCATGGCAAGCTGAGCCCCCAAATGCCCAGTTTGTCATAGTTCGTAACTGCAAAGACCTCGGAGAAAATGTTGTAGCTGCCCTCTTGTGGCCAAATTGAAAGTTTTACCTTTTTGTCTTAATACTCCTAAGAAACAATGATACATTTTTTCCCTGGAGCTATTCATTTAATAATCTGAAAGCAATGAAATATTTCATTTTCAAATAGGCTTAAAAAAAACTTTCCTCCCCAAAGAAAGAGTCAGCAGATCAGTCAATACATACTTTTTAGTGGTGCAAAACTCCCGGCAATTGGTAAGTTATAATAAAACTGTGGTCCCTTCCACCACACCCTAGGCAAAGTCATTTGAGGCTTTTAAAGGAAATACCCAAGTCTACAAATACTCTCTGGTGGTGGTGCGGGGGTGGTCACTGCAGGGGGAGATGTAGGAAATAATAATGGGAAGTGCTTTGGTGCTTGTCAGCTGAGTGATCAAGGCTCAGTCACTTAACCCTAGGGCTTAGACTTTAGTTTCCTCACATGTCCTTTGAAATGAGACTTTTCAAAGGCAACTTCTAATATCACTTTTAGCTCTAAAACTCTAAAAATATGTGACCAGATGGACAAAAAAATGGCTTTTTGGTCTCTGGGATTTCTTTCCTTTCTGCCTGTGTGGCTTTAGGATTAGTGAACCAAAAAGTCGTGAGGGGAATTGCGTGATAAAGGCTTTGAAAATTGCAGGGCTACAGGGAGATTTGTAGAACTGCCCCTACTGGTCTTGTGAGAATTTTTCGGTATATTTGTACAAGCACTGAATTTATTATCAACTATGCATTATTGCTAGAGAATATGCTATGCATTATTCTTGGTGCTAGTAAAACAAAATAAGGGAGGAGGTGAATCCTTGTCTTTAAAGTGTTTGTAGTTCTAAAAAATTAAATTCAATAATTTCTATGTAGCCTTACATAATTTGCTTATATGTTCGTATGGTTCTAAAAATACTTAAGGGGAACTTACCTTAACTTTGTCTCCAAAGAGCTTTGAGGTGGGATCGTCGTGAAACTTAGCAAAACTCCCAGTGAACTTTGGCAAGAGCTGCATCTGGATTCAAAACTCTGAGTTCAGGAGAAGTGTGCCCGTTTGTGAAGCTTCCATCAAAGAGGTGTCTGACTATGCCCTGGTCGTTCTGAAAACTGCTCTTCCATGGGCCATTTTTTAACATAAAAGGAAATCCTAGTAAGCCCTAGTCCTATATCTTTTTGGAAAATGACTTTTCTGTGTTCTGCTTTTACATTTATAACATACTATGCAATGACTAATTTAATAGGTAAGATTGTATTTTAAATGATTTATGAATTTATTTAAAAAAGTTTGCTTTATCAGGCTAAGATTGTTTTCTTGGGTTTGTTTATTCCTCAAGTCCTTGTGGCATGTTCTGATGTCTAAAGTAGAGAAATAATCTTAAATTTGGCAAAGCTAATTGTTTCAGATGTGAGAAAAAGTAAGCCATACACTATTAAAATGAAAGTTGAATTATATTAATAGTTATATGCCTATACACATGTGTGCTATGATTAAGTTACAGGAGCTTGATAAAAATGATTATTCTAGATTACAAGAAGTTCTGGGAGGACCTCTTGATGACAGGTTTTTTTCCCTGTTGCTTTGGTATTTTCGGAATAGCTTACACATCATCTACTATATGTGGCTTTGTTGTAAGTTAGAGTTTGGTTAGATAGAACATTTGAACACTGTTCAACTTGGCAATGTGAAGAGCCTGGAGTCCAGTAATTCGTTTTTAGGGCGGTGTTTGGGGAATAACAAAATATGTCAGAATCATTAAGGGTATTCCAACAGGGAATTTGGGAGTGGTTGAGATGCTTTGTGTGCTTCTAAGAAGGCAGGATGGGAGAGATTAGAGGAGGAAAATGGTTTTAAAATTTCACTCAGAGATTTGTAAATATAATCAGCATTGCTGCATGTCCCTAATACAATAAAATGATTATAAATTGGTAAAAAGATGATGGCTCTTTCTTGTCTCAGTTTAATGAAACTGAGATGGTAAAACAAAAAACAATTTATATGTTACAAAGGTAGGGTTATTAGTGTGTGATATTAGAGCTCTCCCCTGGCCAAAGATATATGTGTTAGGAAGACTTTTAGATAAAGACTTTTTAAATAAGTTTGTGATACCATTTTGACACAAATGGTGACACCACAGATCACTTCTTTAAAGATGATTTTCATGGGGATATACTGTAAGGAAGACACTGTGAAGTCTTGGAAAGAACAAAGACCGGGGTTCAGAATATGCTGGCTCAGTAATTTGCTGGCTGTATGGTCTTAGGTAAGGTATTCAGCCCCAGAATCCACAGTTACAAATTGAAGTGATTCTTCTTCTCTCATAGGCTTATTCAGAAAAGGCTCCATGTTTTCCTCTTGCCTCATCTTCTAGATTTCTAGGAGCATTTTGCTACATACCAACTGATCTCCAAAAATCATGTCAATCATTAAGGCCTAAAGAGCTAAAAAAACAAAAAAGAGAGAGAGAAATAGTTGAAATGTTATTGTTTGGGTTAAGAAAACTTTAACTCCCTCTTTTAGCTATGCCAAACAAAGAGAAATGCATTTAGCATTGAAGGCAAAAGAGTCTTTGCTCCGTTGACTATAAGGAAACCTGCATTTCCTGGTTTTTGTTTCGGTGTGGGGATGTGGAGAACAGCAGGGGTTTACAATTTCTGCACATAGGGCTCAAAGGCTTGTCCAGGCATTTTCCTACGTGGTTGTGTTTGAACTTGGTTGTTGATTGCTTTTCACGGAGACCTCTTTCTTACATTCATTTTTTTTTCCTTCATTTCATTCAAACATTTTAACCATTGGGTACACATTATGGAACACAATTCTTGTGTCTTTTTGGCTTAGACACAAAATTTAGCCACACTTTTGGTTTAGAGTGTGGCTTAATTCTGGGTTACAAGTTCAAATGTGTGTTCAGGTCAGAAGTGAAGCAGCCTCTATAATACAGTTGTGAACACCAGAGACTGCTGAACTGGGGACCTCAGTCCAGACAGCAGCCACCAGTCAATGGCTTGTGGCCACACCATTATGTGAGCTGCCTAGTGCCAGATCTTCCAACTTTTTTGAGAGCAGTCAGAAACACAGACTTGGTTTTTAAAACACTGTGCAAATCAAACAGAGCCCATTGTCTGAGGACTGCTTGTTTTGTGTACTTGGATACAGTTAGCACCTCTCTTACTGTCTATTTCCTAATAATGTTATAGTTAAGAGCTAGATAAACTGGGATCAAATCATAGCCCCATCACATACATACTAACTGTGTGACTTTGGCAAATTACTCGCCATCTCATTTATGAAGTAGAGGTGATAATAGCTCTTATCTCATTGGGTTTTGGGGAAGACTTAAATGAGCTGAAATATATAAAGCACTTACAATAGTGCCTGGGATGCAGTAGGTGCTACTGAAGTGTCTAATATTGTTCGAGTCTCTTTTATGTCATCGTGAGACCACACTCCTCTTCTTGTGCGGCCTGGGAAGAGAGAAGGAAGAAGAAAGGAAACTACCCTTTATTGAGTACCTCCTGTTTGCCAGGAATTATGCCATGTGCTTTGTATAACATTTCCTCACTTAATCCCCATGTAGACTCTTGGGGTAGATGTCATTTGCATTTTGCAGGAGAGAGAACTGAGAATCAATGAGATTCAGTGACATTTTTAAGGTACAGCAGGGATTTAGACTTAAGTAGATCTGATTCCAAACCAATCATTTTACTAGAAGGCTTACCACCCTTGAGCCAGGGAGATCTGCTGTAGATTTGTTGCTTGTTAGGAAATTGCTTTCTAGATGAACCCTCTTGGTGTTATGAGAAAAACTTGGGATTGTAATGTTTCTTCCTCACCCCGAAACTGGGAAGGTATCAAGAGACCAAAATGACTTGGAAAAGTCCAGCTTGGTGAGTAGATGAGTTTATTAAGACTCAAGGCACTCCCAGGCAGTAGCAGGACAGCTCTAGAGATTCATTCCGCTTCCCATCTCTCATTTAAGCTAATTCTTTGGCTTTTTGCCTACTGTATATGTGTGATGGGACTGTTTTCCTTGGTATGTTTGGGTTCTCAGAAACACCTGCTCTTTGGCTGGGCATGATGGCTTTGGATCACAACCTGGCCTTCAAGGTTCAGGCAGTGAACATATACTCTTAAGTAACCTGGAAGAGGACCCATCACACTACATTTGGGGCCAGATTAACTAGGGAGAGCTTTGCCACTCATAAATCTACTGTCCCTGCTGGGCACCCATCAAGTCCTTGAGGGGAAGGATGTGATCTTTTTATATCTGAAGCTCCCTGCATATTCAGTGAACTCAAATGCTGACGAAGATATGAAAGTGGGACTCAAAATAGGCACTCACCATTTTGGAGAGTCTGGACATAACATGTAATAATAGGTCTGGCCAGGCTAAGTATTAGCCTTTAATTCCTACACTAAACACCCCTCAAATGTTACATAACTTGTACCTCCTTTTCTAACAGTGTTCTTTATGGTATCAATGAATAGAATCAGAGTGGATGGGAGGTGTGAAGGTGTGTGTGAAGGGAAGGAGGAAGGGAGCCAGAAAAGAAAGTAGGAAGCTGTCTGTAGATATAAGGAGAGCAGGGCTGTGAAAGGCAAAAGTCATTGAACAAACTTCCTGTCAGCTCCACAGAGTATTTCAGCTTAGATGAACTTCCCAGATCAGGACAGAGTCAAGAAGCACACGCAACAGTTTCCTTGGAAAGCCCTTTTCATCTCATTAGGCTCTGCTGGAAACAGCTTTTGTTTTTGGTAGGTAGAATAAAAGAGTATGAGAAGTTTACTCAAAAGAATATCTGCTGTTATAAATCACACAAAGTTTTCCCAGTTAGGGCTTAAGTCACATCTATCTATAACTCTGAAGCAGAAAAACATGAGTCTTTCTGCTGGTCAGTGAAGTATTTTCAAAGGATTTTAATTCTTCTTCCATCTGAGAAGTTTGAACACACAACTTTCTAGTTTTTGCTTCATTGACTCAAATGTGTTAGGAGTCAGTGGAATTACCAAAGTCATGAACTAAATGATTAATAGGTCTGTTTTTAAGAATCAAATGGAAAACAAACAGGGAAATGAGAACTACAGTTTCCACTCTGTCCCTTTATCACTTTGCTCTCTGTCTCCCAGGAGATGGAGGGACAGTCAGGCCGCTGAGTCACCACCTTGCTGTTCCCTTTCAGTCTCTCCAGATGGAGTGCCAAGGCTGCAAAGGCTGCGCCGCCCCATCCCGGGGGTCAGGCAGGCTTACAGATGGACCTTTGTAACTAATCCAGATGCAGAGCAATGCTGAGTCCATCCATCCAGAGCCAAGTGTCAGTGTCTGAATCAATGTTCAGCAAGAGCTCTTTAATAAGCTTAATATCTAGAGTCCTGTACTTCCTGGCTGAAGGAGCTCTGGCAAGTTACTTACCCTCCCTGATTCTCAATTTCCTCATCTGTGAAATGGGAATAATCCTAAAAGCTACCTCACGTGTGTGCGATGATTAAATGAGTTTTACCACTTGTAAAAGGCTTTGTGCAGTGACTGGCACACGTTTACTAATATTGTAGATATTAATAAAATGTTTTAGAGGTGTATTGACCACACGAACAGGTGACCATATTTGCATTAGAAATAATCCTTTTCAAAGCACTTTTATTTATGAATGATTTTAAAAGGCACTTGGCATGAGATCAGGTACCTTCATTTACCACTCCAAAAATTAGAAATGAAAATCTCCATTTCTATTATAAGCAGATTTTTATCCCTTTGTGCAAATTGTCAAGACTTTATAAAGGGATATAATATAGTCTTTTTCCTAAGAGGGGGAAAATGGTGTAATTATACAGAGACAACATGTAGATAAAGCAATGATCAATTCGATGGATTAAACATAATTAAAAAATAAGTCAAAGAGGGATAAAATTCTTGTTTTTTGTTTTTAAAAGAAGTAACTTTGTTCCCTGCTTGTTGTTTCCATATACTGGATTGTTTCTTATTTATACTAAATGGAACACAAAATTGTCAGGCCCAAATACAAATTTCACAAAGCTTGGCTTCTAGTTCGTACCAAAGGTGTTTCTTGATCAGTATTAAACAGTGTTATAAATTCTCAGAGATATCATATTTTTGTGTGTAGAACTGACTGGCGTTATAGTGGGAATGCAGAATTCACAACTGGGCTCTGCAATCAGAGATCTTCCCTTCGTAAAGTTGGGATGGAAGAGTATAGAATAGCAGAAAGTCACAGGCTTTAGAACCAAACAGACCTGTATTTGAATTCTGGATATACCACTTATTATTGAGTTTTGAACGCATTCGTTATTTTAACAAATTTATAGAATAAACAGGTGGTTCTCAAAATTTATCATGGATCAGATTCGCCTAGAAGGTATGTTAACATGAACTGTGACCACCACCACAGAGTTCCTGATTCCCTAGGTCTGCTGTTTGGTCCCCAAATATGCATTTCTAAGAAGTTCCCAGGTAATGATGGGGGCCTCATTTTGATAACCACTAGGATAAATTTTATGCAGTATGTTAGGCTTAGATGGTAGGTAGTGAATAGCTGGTTAACTGTTTTGGGGCAGAGCTTTCATATCTATAAATGGGAAGAATCATGGGAAAATCTTGGTTTCCCATATAGAATAGAGATGTTGTACAGATACACATGACACTTACTGGGCAGTCGATAAGTAGTAGGTATTATTCTCTTAGGGTCTGATAACCTTGGGTTCAAGTTTAAACTCTGCTGAGTGTCAACTGAGTGATCTGTTATGAACTCCTTCTTCTCTTGAAACATCATTTATTTGTAAATTGGATGCTATTGACTAAACTGTTCCTCCCTGACTCTCCCTGTCAATTCATGGAAGCCCTAAAGCCCATTGTGATGGTATTTGAAAATGAGGCCTTGGGTGATAATTGGAGTTAAATGAAGTCATGAGGATGGGGCCCTCACGATGGGATTAGTGCCCTTATAAGAAGAAACACCTGATAACTCTCTGGCTCTCCCTTTCACCCTCAGTCTCTCTGTGTCATTCCCACCCCTCTACCATGTGAGTACACAGTGAGAAAGTGGTCATTTGCAAGCCAGGAAGAGAACTCTCACCAGGAACCAAATCAGCTTATACTTTCTGGCATCCAGAACTGTGAGAAATAAATTTCTATTATTTAAGCCACTCAGTTTTTAGTATTTTGTTATGGCAATTCTAGCTGACAAATACCATGAAGATAATTCTACCCTGTAAATTATGGATATAATGAGATGCTGTGCATACAGCACCCAGAACAGAACTGGCTCTTGTAGTGATGGTAGCTAATGAGTGTTAGTGTTGTTATTTAATAAGAGCAATCACCACTTTGTCCTTTCTTCCAGTTTCTTTATAGGATTTCTCCTCGTGAACTTTGCTAAGTGCTTTCCAAATCTGATGGTCAATGATTGTGGGGCATTTAGATGAAATA